GAGGTCTGGTCAGAGGAGACAGGTCACTGGGGGAGTGGCCTGGAAGTGTTTCTTCCTCCTTATCCCCACCCTGATTCCTCTTCTTCCTGATTGCCATGAGGTGAGCTGCCTTCCCCGTACCAGGGCCCTTCCACCATGCCCTTTCTGCCTTGCAGCTGGCTGGGGCTAAAAAACATGAGCTAAAATCAACCTCTACTCTTTTAAAGTGTGGGTGTTGACTATTGTCCCAGCTATGAGACAGGGGCCGTGACATCTTCTAAGAAGCTGCTAAACTAACTTTCAAAGTGGCTGAACCGTCTTGCATTTCAACGGGCAGTGAACTTGAGTTCCAGTTACTCTGCATCCTCACAAGCCACTAATATTATCTGAGTTTTGTTTTTTCATTTTTAGCTACTCTAGTAGGGATATAATGGTACTTTCTTATTGTTTCAATTTGAAATTCCCTACTGGGGTGTGACATTGAGCATCTTTTTTATGTTTATTTACATCTGCATGTCTTCTTCGGTGATGTATCTGTTCCTATCTTTTGGCCATTTAAAAAATTATGTTGTTTTCTCGTGGTTGAGGTATAGGAGTTATTTGTATATTGTGGCTAAAGTCCATAATTTTTCATATGCTTTGCACATATTTTCTCCCAGTTGAGACTTTCTCTTAACAGTGTCTTTCACAAGCACACATTTTTAGTTTTAATAGAGTCCAACTACTGATTTTTTTTTCTCTCAGAGAGGCTTTAGGTGTTCCACTTGAAAACCCACCCCCCATACCTAAGATCACCTCTGTTTTCTGTAGATATTTTATAGTTGTCTACTTTGCATTTAGGAGTATGGTCCATTTTGAAATAATTTTTGTGTAGATATAAACAAGATCAGTGTCTAGGCTCATTTTGGTTAACCTGTGCATGCCCAGTTGTCCTGGACACAGTATATTTCTGTATCCTTCAGCTTTTTTTGGCGGGGCAGGGGGGACTTAGCTAAATTATTTTAACATGGTTTGATCTTTTTGCATCTTTTTCTTCTATTTCTTTAGGCAGAATAAAGCAGCATTGAGTCTGGTGTTAATGTTTTCTCATTGTCAATCAAGACCCTAAATATTTCTCATGATGCTCATGACGTCCCCTTTATGAAAATGGAGAGATTCCACTGTGACTGTCTCTGGAGGGGACAATCACTATTCCCAGTTAGACAAGGGCTCTACCACTGAGCTACACCACTAGCCCTATCACTTATGTTTTCTAATTCTCTGTGAAAGTCCAACACCTTCTTATTTGATTATAAACACAGCCAGAAAGCATATAAACTCAATTCAAACTGTATCAGAAAATATGGATATGTGGATATTATTTTTTAAAAGTTACACAGAAATATAAAATATTTCGTTTTAGGTGATAGCAAATATCGATTTATTTTTGTGGGAAAAATCCATTTTTTAAACTACAAAGTGATCTATCCTTGAATTTTAAAATTCAAAAGGATGATATGGCTTTGTATAGTGATACACATATAATCCCAGCATTCTGGGAAGCTGGGGCAAGAGGATCTCAAGTTCAAGCCCAGCCTGGGAAATTTATCGGCATAGTGACTTTGTGAGATCCTGTCTCAAAATTAAAAATAAAAAAGGGCTGAGAATATAGCTTAGTAGAAAGTCCTGTGTTCAATACCCAACACCCACACATACACACATGAAGCTTAAATCCTTTGTAATCTCACCTTCCAGAAATAACCACTGTTACCACTTTGATGCATATTTTAAAATTTTTCTTCTCTTCTACCTGAAAATGTAGGCATCTTTTAAATAGCGTGGTTATTAATGTGAACAAAATTGTTTATTTCATTTTTCCTTTATTGACAGATTTATCTGAGTAAAATTAGTCCTCACCAATTTTCTGGGCTGGAACCTTGTCTTATGATCCTATCTATTTGTTTCTAAGTGCTAATTTCTCAGAGGCCCTGCCTCATTTGACTCTCAGCTCTGTGGTGACCCAGAGTGTGTACGCCTACACACTAGTGTGCACCTGGGCGTTGTGTATCTGACTTCCCTGCTCCAGGGTCCCTGAGGGTGGAAGTGGCTCTGCCATGTTCATGGCTCTGTCCTCAGCCCCTGGCCTGAGCTACTTAAGCCAAGTGAAGACAAGCACACTGCTTGGTGGGGAAAGATATTAACGAAAGACTTGCATGTATTAATACAGGGAAAGTAAGTGAAAGTCTTCCTCTGGTGTTTTTCAGCTAGTGAGCCAGCGCCGCCTGAGCCCGCCTGGTGCCTCCCTTCCCGACACAAGTTGCAGATGGATGAACGCGGCCATGCTGCCTCCGGATTCTGCTCCAGGGAGTGCAGAGCTCCTAGGTCGCCTGCCCGAGTCAGCCCGCATCTCCCTCTGAGGGGCGGCAGCTCCAGCGGCATTGCTACACCCTCTCATCTCTCTAATCGGACTCCAGGCCCACCCGACCTACTTATTTCTCGCTTCTCTGATTTCGGTCACATTTTGAAACCCGTTGCCTCTATCTAGTGCCTGAATGGTAGTTGTTGCCAGAAACCTTTAAACTTTTCCTTAACTTTCAGGTGTTTACTGTAGAACCCTAAGCATCTTAAGTTTCATCACTTATAGAGATAAAAAAGTAACACTCTTGCATATAAAGATGGGAGGAACATTGCGGGGAGAAGAACATTTGAAGACTCTCGTAGTTTGGCTAATGAAGCAAATAAAATAAAACTCGTTCTTTGAGAAGGAATACCGTTCATCCTCCTCTACCACTATCTGATCAACTCCTGTACATGCCGTCTCACAAAGTCATCTCCTGATAAAATGTTTAGGCTGGTTTTTACATTCTCCTTGAAGGCTGCATTAACAAATACCTGATAATGTTACCCAGATATATAAATAGCGTAGAATTCCAATATCCACTTTATATTTTCCTACAGTGCAATTTAAATATTGGTTTGGTTAATTAGCTCAGATTTCAAAGAGATGCTAGAAAGCAGAAAAATATGAAGCTTGGGAAAATTGCAGTGAATGCATTTCTCATTTGTTTAGTTGTTTAAATCTTTAATTTAAAATTGGTTTCAGCGCTTGAAAGATATTTTGTGAGATAATTATTCCTTCATTATTATTCCTTCCATTCTTTTCCAGAATGTCTTTGATATGCATAAGATCATTTATAACAATTTGCTACATAAGTTACTTAGGGGACATAATTTTCAAAAACTAGCATGAAAAAAATCAAGGAGGTCAAATTTTGAAATATCTGACCAATTTTTTTTGGTCTTTTTTAGACAGGGTTTCAGTATGCAGTTCAGACTGGCCTTGAACTCACTTTATAGCCCAGGATGACCTGGAACTCACAGTGATCCTCCTGCCTCAGCCTCCCAATTACTAGTGAAAGGAAAACACTGTACAAGAGAAATTGTTCTTTTTAAAACTTCGTTCTCTTTAAACTGCCTAGCTCTGTAATTGCTTCATGGCTTTGTAATTACTTTTTTGACCCTTGTAACCCCAAGAATGTAAGTGAAAATATGAAGTGCCTGATTGTGCCATTGTACCAAGCTTCATAAACTCATGACCATTAATCTACCCTGGTAACTGATGATCTCACCCTGCTAACTAATCAGAAGAATTGTTTCTGTTCCATCTCACCTCTGTACCTCCTGCTTGTGTATCACATAAAAGCCCTAGATCACCAGAGATCAGGGCCTGATATTCTGGGAATGATCCTGATCAGTGCCCATCGATGTAAATAAACCTGCCTCCAAATCCTGGGTGTCGTTTTGGTGTTTCTGCTTGCCAGTGCGTCGGGATTACAGGTGTGCCACGCCCAGCCTCTGACCAGCTCTTAAAACTAGAAATTACAGGCATTTGTTAACTGGGTTGGAAAACAGCCACACTCCTAAAACATTTTGAAACTTTTCCTTAGGTGGAAAAAGTTGATTTGATGATTTGCACTGTTTATACTACCATGATAGTTTTGTTTGTTTTGATTATCAGCAAATTAACATTGGAAACATTTTCATTTAAATCAAGGTGGTAAGTCTAGGCCCACACAACTTGTTTAGTCTTTTCTATCTTTTGCTTTTTTCAGGACTGGGATTCAACACAGACCCATCACTCTGAGATTCAAACCCAGAATTTTGTATATATATA